ATACTATATGCATACTATATATATACTGAATACATATACTGTATATAGTGGTCAACACTAGAAGTGAGGGTATTGTTCGAAATCCATGTATAACTTTGATGAAAGGTTTTGATCCACTTCAAATGTTGACTACTGTATTTATCATTATGATCAGTGTTGGGTGTAATTTAACTACTTTTCCCTTGAAAATGTAAAGTAAGGGATTACTCTTCATTTATCTGTAATTTAATTACAGTTACTTCTGATGTAATTGAGGTAAATACTGTGTATAGATCAATCCGATCTCACAGCGATTCGTATGCATTTTATGAGGTGCCTAAATATTACGACCGCACTCGAATTATTGTAAAATATGTGTGAAAAAAAGTGTGAGATCAGACATAAAACAATAGTGGGTTTAACATCAAAATGTATTGTCTGATGCTAAAAAGTATGTATTTATAATGTAACCTTCTCCACCTTTAAGTTTAAGGATAATTCATGCAATTTTATAGTATTTATTTGAAAGAATTAAAACAGATTCATGTCTAACCTTGTATTATTCAGCTGGTTGAGATTGATATGGGATTTTGAAAGTAATTAGTAATTAAAAGTAATTAAATACTTTTTAGAGAAGAAGAGGTAATTAGTAACTAGTAATTAAATTCGTTTTTTAGAGTAACTTACCCAACACTGATTATGATATTATACTCCAGCAATAGTAAAACTACGGTACTGTTGTAGTATGCCATTCTAAACATGAGCTTTGCCATCTACAGTATATCTGTCTCACCACTTTGCGTGACTCCTCCTGAATCACTCCATCCAAGCCCAGCTGCTTCATGCCCACCCTATCCAGAACACTGACCGTTACAGCCGACAGGAACCCAAGAACACACAGGAACGTGCCTGTACACACAAAACAGATGCATTTTAATATTCCCAGGACGCCACATCCGAGGTTTAGCTGTTGCATGTTGAGTTTCTTACCTCCCCACAGCGTCCACTGCATCCCGTACTGAGACTCAAACCTCTGCGTGAGGAAGAAGTTCAGAACCGAGCCCAACCGAGAGAAGGCCAGGGTCAGTCCGAACGCCAGAGCCAGCTCCTTCCCCCGGAACCAGAACGCCGTGATACGGTTCTGGACAACTGAGAAAGCAAGAAGAGAGACACATGAGAGTTAATGTAGCTTTCTCAATGGTGCTTTTTCATGGGTGTGTTTGTAAAGTCTTCGGCAATGACGACCCTCGTTTACTGAGAATCAGAGAAAGAAAAAGCGTGTTAGATAATTTAGGGACTTTGTAGAGTTTACGATCATAATGCAGATCAATAGCCAGCGGAAATTCGTTTAAAAATATTTACATTTTGTGACATTTCTGAACTAGATAAAAGGAGATTTGACTAAATAACCAATATACTAAATCATTAACCAATTTAATAACCTCAGGGTCAAAGAGGTATTAGTGGAAAAGGGAAGAACGTTCTCAGTAAAGACTACAGACAGGGTTTCTGCAGGTTTCACAAAGTCAAATTTAAGACCTTTTTAAGACCATTATGAATGAAATTTAAAGACCTATATATATATATATTATAATTTAATTTATTTAAACTGAACTTTCATCGAAAAACAGCACGAACGATCCCGTGATTTTGGAAATTAGTTCTGTTACTGTTTTTTTAAATCCCCTATTCCAAAGTGCGTAATGTGGGCCGTTTTATCTTTCCCGCACATGAAGGATTGAGTGACGTCAGAGTCCAGAAACATAGCTTGAAACAATGTAGGACTGGTATCTTGTCACTGTGTGGAGAAACCAGAGCACAATAACACGAAACTCAAAACTGATTGGCTGTTGCATGTTGGTCTATTTTGTAGTCGCAATACAGTGAATTATATTTGAACTAGCAAAATAGGGAACTACAACCACGGAATAAAAAAAACAACAACTTTCATTTCAATGAAAGTTTCACTGAGATTTACATGGACGTAGGAAAATTAAGACCCATTTAAAATGAATTAAGACCTAGAACATAGTACTTTCCTAGAACATAAAACTTTTTAAGGTCTTAAATTGTGATTTTGAAATTTTAGACATTTTTAGACCCTGCGGAAACCCTGACAGAAATAATGTTTTTCTTTGGAACAGCAAGCACATATGAATCATGCACAATAAGACTTTATAAAATTAAATGATGCATTAGGAAAACACATATGGTCACTTTAGAGTCACATTAAACGTAACGTGCAGAAACCCCATTAGTTGGTAAAACGGTTGAAAAAAATGGGCAGATGAGAATCTTCATAAGAACATGAAAATAAAATCAGTCATTTTGTAATTTTTGCAATTCATTTTGGTGCCACTTATGGTACAGAAATTACTTTGGAGTTGATTTACTTGACAATCACTTTCCTTTACAATAATTTCCTTGATTTAGAGTTAATTTTACTTTACTACATTGTTTGTTTTCAATTTTATAATTTTTTTATTCTTAATCCTTTTACTCGTGATCCTTTCTTTTCTATATACACATGTGTGTACATAAAGTTCCTGAAAACCACAACAAATTCCTGTGCATACTTGGAGAATTAAGCTCATCTGAATCTGAATTCAGAACTAAAAGATATGGTGCTTCTTGAGTTAAACCTGCACAATGTTATGGGTGTTATGGGGGAATATCTGATGTCTTACTGGTCAAAGAGCCGTTTCCAGATCCAAACAGAAGTCGTCCAGTCAACATGAGGGGCAACAGGTACGTCGTGCCCTTAAAATGAGACCCCAATGCAAAGATCGCTGAGCCCAACACAGTCAGGAAGGAGAAGAGAAAAACGCCAACTACAGGAGAGAAAACCCAAACTTTACACACGTGTATTCAAGATAGAATACTGATTATTGACAAAATCAGACGGATTTCAAAACATCAATTACAAAAAAAAAAAAAAAAAAAAAAAATCATTCCAACTTACAGCGGTTTCCCAATTTATCAATGAGGAATCCCGCCATGATGACCACCACAGCATTCCTGCGAAAACAAAATAAGAGTCCTTTAACAGCTGATAAACAGAATGAAGCTTTACATCAGTGATTGTCTGGTTGGGCGATATTATAGAGAACGAAAAATAAAAATAAAACCATTAAAAGAATTAGATAAACATGAACTGAAACATGATAATATGTCAATGATACTAAAACAACAGTGGTGTGAGACTTACGTCCAGGCGTAGACGGCGTAGAGCAGGTTATACTCCTGTGGTGTCATTCCCAAACCTTCCACACACACTCCTGTGCCATTACCAGTGCTGTTACTCACCGTCTCGTTCGAACATGTCAGATTCTGTAGGAAACAACACAGGCTGAGCATTCAGGGCCTTACTTTTCTGATCCAGAGCCTAAAACAGGGAGGTTTATATGTAATATTTGTTACTCTCATGATGTTAAAGGGGTCATATCATACATTTTATTATTATATAAGTAAAGACTTTTACCAGTAAAACAGTCATAATTTAGTTTTTCATGGTTATTTGGCTATTTATGACATGACTTCATGTTATTTCTTCTGTGGTTTGGAACAATTTTATTGATCCTGCTCTCCTCATTACCTCATTGTGACTGGACGGGCCATTCAATAGATCAATAGTGTTCATCTATTCAGAGGTTTATGCAGCTCATTTTCAACAAATGCTCTGTTGTATATATGAATGCTGTTGCATATATTTTAAAATATAAAGGTATATTTGATTCCTCATAATATGACCCCTTTGAAACTGCCTAAACTAGGATTAGGCGATGTGAAAGTGAGGTCAGAGGTCAGTAAGTTGCTTCTCACCCCCTGAAATTGCTCCTGCAGGACACTGGGAATGTCAAAGCAGAAATAAGAGCCGAAAGTCAGCATACAGTTAAAAAACAGGACCACGAACCGGTAGTAGGCTGTAAATACACACATAAACACACAAAAAGACACACAGAGAGAGAGAAAGTGTAGAGTTAGTCATCATGTGTCAGGTTACATCTAAGCTAACAAAGAAAACAACACTTAGGAGTATGACTCTCTTGTGAATTATGATATTTAATGTGCATGAAACTTGGTTTAAAATTAAATCTGTCTTTGTTTACAAACTGAGAGCTCATTTAAATGGCTCTAAATTCACAAACATTCTGAAATATCAGTGAAATTATGAATTCACCTTGTTCTGCTGCTTTGGCCATCTCGACCCCAGATCAATCTCCGCAGTCTTCCCATATAACGATAATCTAGTGGGATTTCTTTTTGTTTATGTGGCCCAGTCAGGAGGCGATCTTCAAAATGTGCAGCTTGTCCAGGAGCAGTCGCTATTCGCTGATCTATAAATCATAATAAAATAGTGAAAGCTCCAAACTTCAGGAACAGTCGATCCAGGTTTTCTAGCAGAACAGACTGTTTTCCTCATTTAGCGTTACGTCATAGCCTGGGCGGGTGTCATGTGACTGAGTAGATTACGTTGTTTTTCTCAGCGCTGACACAGCACTAATGATGATTGGCAATAATTGTGGTATATGTTTTTTTTTGTTTGTTGTTGTTGTGATGTTTTCCTTTACGAGCATTTAATAAAAAATAAAATAAAATAAAATAAAATAAAATAAAAAAAAAAAACCTAATGATGATTGGGTTGATAATAGATAATTGAATCATGTACATTTTATCACGCTTTAAACAAAACAATGCCCATTCTCATGACATGTTTACGGAAATAACATTTATTAATATATACAATTTCACAATATGTAGTAATTTAAAGCGCTTTAAATGCTTTTAAAGCGCCTTAAAAGTCATGAAATCAAAATAACTAAGGATATAAGAAAAATCCAACGTACACATTTAAACTTGTAATATCCAGCTATAAAATACAATATAATGTTATATAATAACATAATATAAGAATCTAATCAAAATCAAACAAACACCTGACCGCATTATCCCCAAAACATTATTTTAATCATTTTTGAAACGCGATCCGTACTAATATTGTCCCTCTCGCCGCCCCATATTTGTTTACATTCGCAGCCTCTGCAAACTCTTATTGACAGCGGAGGGTGGTACACTAAGACTAAAACACAATAATAATAAACTACTCAGGTTTAATTTACACATAATGACTCGATTATCTTATAACACTGTATATTTAAGTACATTATAGTTTATAGAGTATATTTATAGTTATAATAAATTACCGGCAGCTGATTAAAGGGATGTCAGCCGTACATAGAGCAAACACGTGGGACATTTCAGATTCGGAGAATGAGAGTGAAGACATTAAATCATCATCATGTGTAACACTCGATCAGAACACGTCTATAAATGAATCAAACACTTCTCCACCCTCCACCCAGGCGGAAGACAGCAGCATCAGCGCGGATGGAGTGAAGATTTCCGGCAGGAGGAGGAGGAGGAGAGAGGAGGTGCTGGAGGAGCGGGAGGCCAAAGAGAGACGGAGAGAGGAGAAGGACAAACTCAAAGAGAAGAAACTACAAGAGCAACAGAGAAGAAAAGAGGCAGCGGAGAGACTGAACCTGTTAAAACCTGAAAACTTCATTAAGAGTCTGACAGCTCACATTCATGCAGGTGAGAAACAACTTCCCTCCTGTCGAGCTGCATCTTGAAAAGTGGAGATGGTTATTGGTGGTTGTCGTATTTCTCTCTCTGTAGTGCTGTTGCAGGATGCAGGCTGTGATGTTTTGCTCAGGAATCTTGATGGGTTGCAGTGGAGGAACCAGATAGAGAATCAAGGTCTTCCGAACAGCATCCGCTGGACACAACAAGCCCTTCAGGTCACTAGTAACTCAAGACTGTTGCTTCTTTCTTAGTCTGTCCATTGCAGGTATAGCAGAGGTGTCAGGTTGCATTATTATTGTGGCAAGGGCTCATTAATGTCCCAGCAAGTGTTTGTTCTCTATGTGTGTGTTTGTACACAGCAGACTGAGGATGAGGATAAAAATGAAGTTATTGAAGAAGATCAGGTCCTGATGGTGATTTCCCATAATGAGTTAGAGGACATGGTGATGTCACATAAAACAGTGACCAATCAGTCGGTCAGTCATGATTATATTATAATATAATTCTAATATAAATATATATATATATATAAATGATATAATCATTTCTATCATTCTAGGCTCTTATTGGTGAAATGTATGAGGGGTCTGAGTCTCTGTTGAATCATCTATATAAGTACTTGACCACAACTGCGGGGAAAGTTGTCACAATTCTAGCGATAATCAGTCATCAGCAACGGTAAACACAGTCTCTCAAATCATCTTATATCTCATAATATGAATGGATGTCTCGAAGTGCATATGTGTGTGTGTGTGTGTGTGTGTGTGTGTGTGTACAGATCAGGATCTTGGGGTGAAGATGATCTTGACCTTCACCTCAGTCAGCATCGTCTGGACACAGAAGAGGTCGGATAAATTTATCATCGCCCTTGTCATTTTTCAGTAATGTAACCTCCCAGTAACCATCATGCCTTGTTTCTGTGATGGGCAGCTGTTGGTTCACCTCCAGCTCTACTGGAATGTGGCAGTTCACTTCCTGTTTGGCTGGCAGGAAGTGACCGATCATGTGGTTGCACTTACCAAGGCTTTATCTAAGAGACCTTACAAGTGAGTTTTATGCAGAAATCACACAATATAAATCATTCAAAAGCCTCTTTTCCCATTTTATCTTCAGACAAATTCGGGGTATGATTTATTCATGCTTCTATAAGAATCAAATTAGGGAACTTGTCCAAATCAAAATAGGGACCTTATGAATTGCTTTTAGTGTGTTTGTTGCTTTGCGATTCTTTCATCAGCCATTTCAAACAGTCTTTTAATCACTCTTAAAGTGGTATTCACCAGATGTGGTTTTTGCTTTCACAAAATTTGTATAATATGACTTGTTGTGTTTGCTTGGTTTTATTGTATTTATATGATATTTGTATTATATAGAAGTTTTGCCATGAAAATATCCTTAGATGCTGACATGGCATTAAATAAAACAATATATCCATCAATCTTTTGTTGTCAGGGCGTTGTGTGGCGCCCCTGATCTGGGCTTCTGCATGAACGGCTCGTGGTCAGCGGGTGTGCGAGTGGACAGAGACGGCCACGGTCTCGCTCAGGTGTGGACACGTCAGATACAGCAGCTGAACCGCGTCAGTCCAGCCATGGCCAAAGCCGTGACGACCGCCTACCCTTCCCCTTCCCTCCTGCTGAAGGTAACGTGTGCTCAGACCATCTCTCTCTTTAAACCAACACAGAAGTGACTTTAACAGCACTTCATCGACTAACCACTAGAGACAGGCTCCAAAAGAGAGTCAATCCCATGTTAAAATCATAGACGGTAAAAGAAATGGACGCAGCGACCCCATAGACTTCAACAGAGTCAATTAGAAACACTTACTTCCTGAAGGCCGAGCGACTGCGCAGGCATGAAAAAGTGATTTTGATCTTTATAGCTAATTTTGCCCTTCATGACAACTGTGAGGGGGGTGAATTTTTTTATAAGTCACCTGTTTAAATTATATTAAGCCTTAAAGGGATACTCCACTTTTTTGGGAAATAGGCTCATTTTACAACTCTCCCAGAGTTAAAGAGTTGAGTTTTACTGTTTTCAAATGTATTCAGCCCGTTTTTTGATATTTAGAAGAATTTCAGTGACCAGTCAGTTTCTCATTGACTTCCATAGTACAGTATATTTTTTTCCTACTATGGAAGTCAATGAAACCAGAAACTGTCTGGTTACTGATATTCTTCTAAATATCAGAAAATCGGCTGAATGGATTCGAAAACAGTAAAACTCAACTGTTTAACACAGGGGGAGTGGTAAAATGAGCCTATTTCCAAAAAAAGTGGAGTATCCCTTTAAAGTTCGGCCTAATTAAGGGCGTGGCCACTTGAGTGACAAGTGAATTGTCCACTTTGGGCTTAAAAAATGCTCTTCAGAAACCTACGGGTGACGTCACAGACACTGCGTCCATATTTTTTAGTCTATGTTTCAGACTCCCACTGAACATCATTCTCATCCTCTGCTGCTCCAACAGGCCTATGAGGAGCTGCCGTCTGAGGAGGAGCGGCGCAGACTATTGGCTGATCTCCCTGTAGTAGGCGGAGCCAAAGAGAGGCGCGTCGGTCCTGATCTCGCTGGCCGTGTCCATCGCCTCCTCACTTCCCAGAATCCTCATCTACTGCTGGATTAGGACCAGTGTGGAATGAAAAACGATTTGTGCACTTTATAACCAGCAGACTACAGAAAATTAAACTTTTTCTAAAAGTTTGAGCCTCAAATTAATACATTCATCCTCCAAAATGAACATTTTCATTGCTTTGCTATAACAATACTAAAATAACTCCTTGGCCTTGGCTGCTTGTAAAATAGCTCCACAGTCTATCATGGGTTCGATTGTTATATAAATGCATTCAATGCAACCCTGATTGTGCACTTTATATTGCTTGGATAAAAGCATCAATCACAGATGCATTCATGCAGGCAGCACAAACACGGTTCAGGATATGATCAGGAGTTTAATACATGTGATACATAAAAATCATAAGGAGTAAATCAGATTCTACAAAACAAAAAACACATGCAATAATGAAATGAGCTTTTTTATTGTTGTTTTTTTACTGCAAAACAATGCAATCAGTAAGAAAACATGCAAAAGAGTACAAAATCATTCACTCATCAAATGATGATCTTAATCTGATATTAATAATAAGATAGGGGAGGTTGAACTAATAAATGAAAGTTAAGTGAATAAATACAGAAGGATATTCTACAGATATGCATTAAGTTGTCATAGCAGAGCTGTAGCTCTCTGGTATTGAATTACGATAAAATATTGTAACGCTTTATTTAACAGACCAGTTGACAGGCTCAGATATTGATCACTCAGCCTGTGCTGGATCTATAGATGCCAGGAAGTTTTTCATGAGGCTTATGATGTTCTGAGCCCATCTCTCTGAGTCCGAATGAATAAACACAAATTAATATTTAAAGTGTCATAGAACTAATCTGCTGCTTTTGAGGTTTCAAATAGCTGATGACCAATCACAGCCAGGCCATAGCTTCAGATTCAACTACAAGTAAAGTAAAATAAGATGTTTGGCATGTCTTGATCTACCTTAATATATAGGATAAACTTCTCAAAATAAGGGAGGGAGGGTTTCCTAACTAGTATTGGCACAGGAAATCAGCAAGTTTATAAGAAATGTAAACCTTCAACGCCATCCTGAACCCTGTAAATGATTGGAAAAAGAAACTTACTAAGAAAAAGGAGGGTGAGTTTGATTCACTAGATTTCATGACGGTTATACTCCAGTGAATGTGTTTTGATCGTTTGGCAAGGGAGACGACGCAGGATGAGGTTGAGTTGAACAGCGCGACGTGTGGTTGCGTGGAACGGTTCACGTAGCAATGACAATTATGCCACTCATCCAAATGTTGTTCCAAAAAACCATGTTTTTCTGTAGGACACAAAATTAATGTTCTTCAAGAAGATCTCATACTTGCATGAGGGCTGCACGATTATTAATTATAATTACTAAATAAAGAAAATTATATATTTCACTGTAAAATAAAGTATTCGCTTTTTAATAAAATAATAATAATATTTGTATTTTACTGTGCAACTGTAAAATTACAATGCTAATATTTATGGTCGTCTTAATTTCTTCATTTTCAAAGATTAAATCATCAATATTTTAGCGGAGACCTTAAAGCTTCTCTTTTGATGGTTTATAAGGACTTGTCTTTAAAATTTTAAAAATCGATGGTTGCACATGTTGGCTTTCTAAATGCACATAGATATGCAGCACATTCACGGATGACACACAATCTGAACTCGTGTAAATGAACACAGCGCCACTCTTGACTCTCCGAAACACGCAGCGCATATATTATGTAATAATTGCACTAAGCCTATTAAACCTAGTATTGTGAACTGGGTTTTATTTCAACTAATCATGCAGGCTTACTCGTACTCATAAATCGTACGAGTTTGGATAACATGAACGCGAGTAAACGATGAACTCTCCCTAAATTTACATGTAAAACGTCAGTGTCTCACGTCAAGCGACAGCGTTTCCTCTTGTAAGTCTCGAGATCCGAGGAGAAGTCGTCCGAGTCACTCTCAGAGGCGGAGTCGGGCCAAAGGGAGGTGTGGCCTGTTGGAGTGTAGGCGGGGCTGAGAACGCAGGAACCGGCGTGTTCCGGTTTATACGCAGAACTGACGTCATTTACCTCACGGCCCTCGCCGGAAACAGACAGTAGCGGGTCACAACAAGCACAGGCAGCAGAAATATGCTGACATATAGGGTTAGGAAGGGAGCTGTGGTCAGATGTGGGGGCGGAGAGGTCAGAAAGTGAGGAGGGATCGAGGGAACAGGTGACGTCCATTATCGAGACTAAGTTTTGATAATGTGCATCATCTGGACATGAAGTAGAGTCAGGATATGTCGAAGCTTCAAGGCAGGAGGCAGAATCAAGAGGGTCATCTTTACTGCAGTAAGAACCAGGGTTATCAGAGAAGGAACTAGAAATAAAGACAAGTTCAGCGTCAGAGGGATTGTGGGAGGGAAAGGGGCTTGTGTATTTGGCAAAGCTGCCGTCCTCTGTTTGTGTGGCTTTGTCCTCGCTGTCGTCTGCGGATCCGAGGGTCAGCACCCACCCCAGCTGGTTAGACAGCAGCAGACGCAGACCCGGCGGGAGTGGAAGCACACGCAGAGCGTCTGCGCAGTTCGGCAGTATTTTGCGCAGCTGTGTACAACACAGGTACTGTAATGTGGTGGCGGCAGAATGCGAACGGATCAGTTTCATGCTGCTCTTGGCTGCAGTCGAACACACCATCGGATACAGGCGCTTATTTTGCAAGTGAGTAGCAGCTATGCCTGACAGAACCAAAGGGGATAGATAGAACGATAGATGGATAGAACGATAGATGGATAGAACGATAGATGGATAGATGGATGGATGGATGGATGGATGGATGGATGGATGGATGGATGGATGGGTGGGTGGGTGGGTGGGTGGGTGGGTGGGTGGGTGGGTGGGTAGGTAGGTAGGTAGGTAGGTAGATAGATAGATAGATAGATAGATAGATAGATAGATAGATAGATAGATAGATAGATAGATAGATAGATAGATAGATAGATAGATAGATAGATAGATAGATAGATAGATAGATAAAAAGAAAGATTGTAGTTGCAACAGCAGTTTGAGTAAGAAATACATTGTTAAAGGAAAGAAACGACTGCATGTTTGTCTTACCGATGCAGCGACGGTTCTTGTAGAAGCTCAGGGTGCCGTGCCAGCTGTCCAGATGAACCCCGATAATGGATCCTTGACCGAACCGTGACGAAAAATTCACCTTTGACCCCTTATGATGGAGCTGACCTATACCAAGATAAACGTAGATTCAAATACAGAGTTAAAAACACACGAGTACTACCACAAAATACTCAAATACAGTCAGAAAACCTGCACTGTACAACATTGGTGTCGGAAAGATGTTGAAATAAGTCTAATATTGACTAAAAAATAAAGACTTATATTGTGAAAAAATATTTAAAAGAACTGTTTTCTATGTGAATATATTGTAAAATGTAATTTATTCCTGTGATCAAAGCTGAATTGTCAGCATCATTACTCCAGTCTTCAGTGTCACATGATCCTTCAGAAATCACTCTGATATGATGATTTGATGATCAAGAAACACTTATGATTATAATCAATATTGAAAAGGGATTAAATGAAATTTATTGAAGTCAAAATATTACTTTTATTCCATTTAGTCATTATTAAGGGTTAGATCAGGTAGGTACAATGATAAAAAAAAATTTTTTAGGTATTTTTTATGCACAAATATGTGCAGGTTTTATGTATTTAAATGAATAATATTAAATTAACACGTGACCTCTGACCTCACCTGTGTAGGACAGACCCCAGCTGTCCTCATCAGTGCCCAACAGACTGCAGAAACTATGCTTGAACTGATCCAGGTTCACTTCTGATGTCCCGATACCAACCATCTGGCTCATGAAAACACAAGATGCATATTTAAAATATATTTTAACCACTCTTACTGAAGACTTTCTAAAACATTTGTATTAATATGACATTATTATCAAGAACATCTTCATAATGATATGCAAAGATGTTTGCTTAGATAATCAGTATTGTAATAAATGTAGTATCTTTGTACATCCTGTCTTCATGGGGCCAGTTTTAGACCCACTAGCAGTTAGTCAAGGCATGGTTAGTCTTACTTTTGTAAATGTACGTTTTTATGTAACTGATTTAAAAAAATTATGAACAGTCTTGTTCATAAAAATCGATGACTAACTTGTAAGACTAGTCTAAGCGGTTTATCTCACCATATCTGTGCCGTAGACCGGAGATGTCATCTTGATCTCCCAGAAGTGTTGCCCGTCAGCGAGAGTCTTTGCGCCCCTGATGCCGGCGGTTCCACAGCTGTACTCCGAGTGGAAGCTCACCGTCCGCTTACAGCGGCTCAGAGACACGGAGGAAGATCTGCCCTCCTCGTCCCAAACCCAATCACATCCTTCACACAACCATAAACAACATCTCACTGTCTGTGTTCCAGTTATTTGATCAAAAATTAGATGAAACCGTAATATTGGTAAATATTATTGCAATTTAATTATTTTTTTTTCAATTGTGATATATTTATCTATCCGACATAAAGCGGATAGTTCCAATCCTTGATTCTGATATTCACGATAAAACCATAGACTGTGTAAAAACAACGGCTATGACCGCTTCACCCAACGGTTCTATGTATCACTGCGCAACTGCTGTTGCTGTTCACGGTCAAGGACTATTTTTATTTTTTTCTAGCGGAAGGAAGGCTTTTAGGAAGGCTTTATTTCATGAAAGTTGAACTAATAAATTTTTTTTAACTTTAATATTTTTATTGTATGGTAACCGTTTTACAAACGGTACTCGAGGCAAGGTCTGTATCGTGAATAAGTAACGGCTAAAGGGCGTTGTTAGGCACGACGCGAAGCGGAGTTATTCACGATAGAGGATAACGTTACAGTACAGCCTTTCCTTTCGTAACTTATTGCTTATGTAAAATGTAATTTATTCCTGTGATTAAGTCTGTATTTTCAGCAGTGTCACATGATCCTTCAGAAATCACTCTAATATGATGATTTGCTGCTTGAGAAATATTTCTGATTGTTATCAGTGTTGGAAACAGTTGTGCTGCTTCATATTTTTTTTAAACCAAAATACATTTTTGTTTTCAGGATTTTTTTGATAAGTAGAAAGTTTGAAAGAAAATCTTTTGTAACATTATAAATGTATTTACAGTCACTTTCAATCACTTTAATGCATCCTTGCCAAATAAAATTTTTAATTTCTTACTGACCCCAAACTTGTCATAGGACAAGTCGGCTCATTCTGATGTTGTGTTTAGTGTGAGCTGACCCTCACCCTGTTCTTCCTCTCCACAGGTGCAGCTGAGTGTGTACGGGCTAATCTGGACATCTGAGCTGAGTTCAGTCTGAGCCGGACACTGGCAGAACGACTCGCCCGTCACGGGCACCACCGGTGGCATCTCGGCTGGCACACACACCGTCACGGCCTCGTACCCTGTAGAGTCAGCCTCCGACTGCACACGCAAACAAAACCATCAGGGATCTCAGAAATAGCCAGCCTTTTTATGCCTACAAAGATTATGTTATTATCTTTTTAAAGCAGTGCTGTGTCATTGTACACCGTGCATTTGAGACTCTGATTGGCCAGATGCCCAGGTCTCGTAAAGCTGGTCCTAGTTATCTCAGAATAACCTCAGCATGTGAGGGAAGAGTAACACACTCCTGTTCACCTGCTTGTCTTCTGGGCCGAGGGTCGCTGTGAGGGGCGTGGCTTCAGGCTCCGGGACATTTTCACTGACAACATACTTATTCCAAGACATTCCTGAACACAAGAACAGAATGAGGCTGTTATTTCTCTCCATCAATCCATCTATCATTCTATCTATCTGCCTATCTATCTATCTATCTATCTATCTATCTATCTATCTATCTATCTATCTATCATTTGTAAGTGATTTGCACTGACAGACTGACTCGGCTGATACTGTAGCCTACTTCTGATTGCTCCATATGCCACGGCTGGCAATCTGAGCCTCTGGTCTTACATGCTTCATGTGACCTGATGTTTGCACTCTAAAAGTTTTCAAAACAGCCCATGAGAGTGAAGACACTTCACCAGACCAGGCTGGCCCATCAGAAAACACTCTATCAAATCTGAGCACTAACACAGAAACTATCATGCTTCAAGAAAGTCCAAGTTTTGTTTCACTTAAATGATTGCTTAATGATTATAGGTTATGAAAGCATGTCAGATATTTCTATACACCAGATATCAATGTATAAATGGATTGAAAGACTTATTATTTGTGTCCTATATGTGCATGCGACACAGCCAGGTGTTCACTAATTGATGGATAATGTGCATCCAAAACGAGAATCCTGCCCTGGATACGTCCACCAACTGGCCCATCTTTACTTGTGTGCTTCTGGGAAATGCAATGGCGCAATAAGTTTGCATTACACTGGCATAAGCACATTTTTCATTCAATCTGCATAAACAAGATGTGTAAGAAGCAATGTGAGAGGAGATAACATCAAGATTTTGTGTATATATAAAAGAAAATACATATTTTCACATTTTTTCCACTTACATACTCCTGCATTTTGAGTGCTAATACTGAATGTACTGTAGTCAAATATAATATGAGCTCATAAAACAGAATGCATAATAATTAGAAACAAATGCCAAATTCCATAAACTTCTGATATGTATAAAAATACTAAAAATAGTAATTCTACAACGAAGTATACATAGTCTTATATTATCATAATAACAACTATCATATATGATTATAATATTATATGATTATAATGTATGTGTATATGTTTTTATAGTACATTATTATTACTATCACTCACAAGAAAACGTCGTTACATCCTTGACAACATTTTAGACTTGTGTAAACGCCAGTGTTTCATGAAGACACCAAGAGTCACACAAAAGTGGACTTTTAGAAATCTCTACTCATAAAACACAACCATTTCTTCACTAAAGTTACGACATAATTGACATATAAACTCACATACCTTGTTAATGTTTCGTAGAGTTAATTTCCCCTGCTTTAAACACCGGTTTCCATCCGGAGCTGGTGTAAGTGATATATGTGATTGGTGACCTACATAAACACACAGCAAACACACAACACAACACCGCCACTCTTGAATCATACTATAGAAAAGGCGCAGGTCTTTCTAATTCTATTAGAAAGTTCTACGTTCTAATTAATATTCATAGTACAAGCTGGGCGCGCACTTACGCCGTCTCTTTTTCAGCCAATCACTTAGTCATATTGGGTAAACGTCTTTTTACGTAGTTAATATTCATTCTACAAAGCGTTCGCCATAGTAGATTTCGTAATTTGACAGACGGAACGGGTCGTTCTGTCTATCATCCTCATTAAAGGCCGCTTTAAGGATCAGCGCGCGCTGGCTTTCAGTCAACTTTACCTTAAACGACAAATTATCTGACCTACAGATCAACATATACACTTCAATGACGTGGTGAATTCAACAGGCTGCATCAAACATGTAACGTTATTAATCAGGCTGGTAATTAATCAACCGGCTGGTATCATTGTATAAAACAATATTTTGTTGTATTTGAAAACAATATCAATTCAAATATTTATTATTAATTAACAATAATTGTGTGAATATTTCAACCTGCCGGAGAGTTTAAATAGTACAGTTTTGAAAGACCATAACAAGGGCGTGACTACGTCGTCTAAATGACCAATAGCAACGCTGACATGCTTTGCATTCTAGTATCTGATTGGACGAGCTTGTCCTATTAGGCGGGATCAAACACGCAGAACGTCAGTATGACGTGTAACAATGCGGAAATAAAAATAAACCAACATGGACAGCAGCGGTAAGTGCGATCACATTGACCAGTAGTACTTTAATACAACTGTCAATTTACGTTGTCATAAATTGTAAAAGAATAAAAAAAAGATAAACGCAATAATACAGGCATTTTGAAACAAATATAATAACATGAAAAGACCATGTTAAAATTAAAAAAGTAAAATTGTTTTGTTTATGAACCACAACAATGCCATGCTTTTTGACAACTGGAGATAGACTGAAAATGCAATGGGTTTGTTGGGCATTTAACATGATGATGTTCTTTAGAGCACTAAATAAGTAAATGTCATAGCATTACCTTACAGCATCACAGTACCACTACTGTAAAGCGCCAGTGGTTCCAATAAACTTTAAAGAGAACAGAATGTTTGAATCGACTTTAAAACGCAATGTCTGAACACATGTTTTAGAGAAAGGGAACCTGTCCGAGGTGAAGCACGTGGTTCTGGTTCTGTCTGGTAAAGGTGGAGTGGGGAAAAGCACCATCACCACCGAACTCGCCCTAGCGCTCACACATGCAGGAAAGAAGGTGACATATCCGTGGATTCTATTCCAACATGCTCTATTATATTCTTCTCTATCAAAATTGATTCTCTATTAAAGTTTATTTTGCTCTATTCTATTGTATACCACTCTATTTTAATATATTCTGTTTTGCTCTGTTCTATTATCTTCTGCTTCATTTTTATATATATTAATTTTGCTCTTTTCTATTATCTTCTGCTTTATTTTTTTCTGCTCATGTACTATTCTGTTTTACTTTAATATATTCTGTTATACTGCTCTATTTCAATATGTTCTGTTTTACTTTATTCTGCTCTATTCTACTATATACAGCTCAGTTTCACTATCCCAATATTCTCTGTTTTTTGGTGCTGTGAGCAGGTGGGAATCCTGGATGTGGATCTGTGCGGGCCCAGTATCCCGCGGATGCTGAGCGTGGGGAAGCCGGAGGTGCATCAGTGTGACTCGGGCTGGGTTCCCGTGTACGCAGACCCTCAGCAGAAGCTCGCGCTCATGTCCATCGGCTTCCTGCTGGAGGACTCGGATGAGGCCGTCGTGTGGAGGGGGCCCAAAAAAACAGGTCGGACCTTTCACCTTGAGTTGAGTTTTTGAACTTTGGTACCTGATGTTGTTCCCGTCTCATGTCCCCCGTCACTTTTCCAGCTCTGATTGGGCAGTTTGTCAGTGACGTGGCATGGGGCGAACTGGACATTCTGCTAGTGGACACGCCACCGGGGACGTCAGACGAACACCTGGCCGTGGTCGAGAACCTGCGCAAACATAAAGTGGACGGAGCCGTGCTGGTCACTACACCGCAGGTAAACACACACACACACACATACACACACTCTCACTCAGTCCTTGTCATACTGGTACTGTAAATCTCTTGTCTGCTGAAAAACATGCATAAACACCCTTTTAAAATGTCAGGCAGTGTCTACAGGAGACGTGAGGCGCGAGATCACCTTCTGTAAGAAGACCCGTGTGAAAATCCTGGGCATTGTGGAGAACATGAGCGGCTATGTGTGTCCACACTGTTCTGTGAGTGTAGAAACCAACAGCTGTACTGGGAAATGCCTTAAACTAACCTAATAATCTTGACTGGCGGATGTGTTTTTCAGGAGTGCAGTAACATCTTTTCTAAAGGTGGCGGTGAGGAGTTAGCCAAGCTCACGGGATCTGTGTTTCTAGGTAATGTGCTGATAATTGACCAACACTTCTGTCTTGTGTTATTCCACTATTCACCACTCGATGGTGCACGTCATCTCAGTGTGTGTTTAAATGAGTTTGAGTACAGGACATGTGGATTTGTCAGTAAATATAGTGGGGTCCAAAAGTCCATATTGAAGATCTGGGATTTTTTTTCGGCCTGAATAAGCTAAATGTTTTAGTATTACCATACAAAAATTGAAACAAACTTATGATGTAAAATGCACAAGAAATATTGAAGATTCTCCTCTATTTTGAGCTCAAATCATGATGGAGAATATGATCATGTTCACGTCAGTCAAACCAAATATTAATGCGAACTTCATGTTAACATTTTAATAGATTTAATGATAATTGAATTTATCATATATATATATATTCTTTATATATATATATATATATATATATATTCTATATATATATATATATATATATATATATATATTCTTTATATATATATATATATATATATATATATATTCTTTTTATAATTATTTGCAATAAAAGTCTGAGGTCACATTGAAAATCTGAAAAAAAAATTCTGCCTGAAAAAAGCTAAATGTTTAAGAATTACCTTTCAAAAATTAAAACAAACTAAGAAAATAAGGATTATATAGTATTTTTAAGCCAAATGTAAATTTCAGTTTAAAAAATATATAAAATGTAATTTTTTCTCATTATGTTGATTTTCTTCCAGTGGAGTTCAAGATTCTCAAATCATTATTAATTCTATTATTAATGTTAATTCTATTCTTTATTATATAAATATTTGTATTTTCTTATAATAATAATAAATTTATATATATATATATAAAACATAAAATAACATTTTGGAAGCATTTTGACTGGTGGGCTCAGACTTTCGGCCCCCAGTGTGTACAGCAGCACTGCAGATGACATAAGTCTGTGTCTGTAGGCTCAGTCCCGCTGGATCCTCTCCTGACAGCGCGTTTAGATGAGGGACGGGATCTCCTGCAGGTGTTTCCAGAGAGCAGCACATACACAGCCATCAGAGATATAGCAAACACTCTCCTCAGCAGCTTGGACGCCTGAAACACACCAACACGGACTGAGAGGACGCGTCACATTCATGTTTCATGTGATGTCATTTGTGAAGAGAGAATTTATCTGTAAATGTGTTTTTCCCCATTGAACCTGAAGATATTATGTTATTGGAAATGCAGTGTTTTTCATACTCGTGCAACTTTCAATAAAAAAAATAATTAAATATTAAACATTTTTTGTGGTGTCTGTGTACCTTGTAAATAGATATATGTATTTAAAAAAAGAGAAATGACTATAAACAATGACAAGAAAATGAGGTGTTGAAAAATGCAGTAACCTTACCCATTTTTATGTTCTCCATGACGAGGATGATCCCCTTTGGCCTGGTCTTTTCACTATTTCCATGCTATATTAACAAATGTGCACATTTTAGATGAACAACGTAAGTAAAAGATAGTATTCAGTCAAAATATTTTTTAGAGACTTTTGGGAATTTGAATTCTTTAGGTGTCTGAAATCGCTCCATATATATATAGGGATTAGTGAAGGAGTGAGCTGTTTCAGACACAACTTTTGTCTCATTTTAATCTCTTATATTTCACAGGTCAAAGAGAGTTTTAATTTTAGTTAACCCCCCTAATATCCCCTACACAAATCATTTAACATTGTTTAATTTCGCTTGAAATCATTCACCAACTAGGCGTACACACATCGACGCACAAAACGTTTTCACGGACAAACGATTCAATAACTTGATTCGTACGAGAACGAACACAGAAAAGTAATCTATTTAGGTGTCCTTATAAATGTGTTGAATGATATATTTACTCTTAAATAGATTTCTTTGAACTTGTTTTGAGGTAATCACAATTATTTTTCTGAGGGAATTAGTTTCGCGCGTCGTAAAAACAAAGTGCGGAAAGCCCTTATATGGAGATTGTCTGGGCGCGTTCTATGCTAATTACTTATGGTTGACACGTGGTTGTTCATTTGGAATGTTCAAAGTTAATTGACTTTCTCAACAAACTTCGTAGATGAGTTCAGTACAATTAGGCTTAACGTGCACCTAACTAATTTACTGTTTTTAATTGGAAAACACTTGCACCAGAATCTTCAATCAAAGAATTACAAAATTAATCTAGTTTCATTCATTTAATATATCAACAGTCCCAATTCTGTCAATTAAAACAAATTGGAGGGCCTTTAGAGTCAAAAACCACTGCATTAGCAATCACCAGATTTGTGTGTGTGGTAATAGAAATAATCCACATAATTAGTGAATGAGATCCAGTGTTTGATTGCCAGAATGCAAGTAATTTACTCTAAAACTGGAGTGAAAATAGCTGTAAATCTATCAGTGCTGCAGGAGAATTATTATCAAGGTTAAGGCCGAGGACTGCAAGGTCAGATACACAACTGAACACATTCACACGGTCCGTCTACTGATGAAAAAGCACTGGAAACACAGGCATATGGAAATGACACTTGTGAGACCCACGAGGGGCACACGCACACCTTTAATACAACCAAACATCAGATATACACATGAAACAACCATAAATACACACACCAAGCTGAAATACTCCCCAACACTGCACTCAGAAGCGGAACACCGGCCCGTGCAGGTCTATTCTTATATCTGTATTCATTATATATATAGAGATTTATGTTTATATAAATATCAATTCAAAGGATTTGAGGAGCTTCAAGTACATTTTCATGAACAATATCTTAATGAATAAAATCAGTGGAAAACAAAAATGGACGTTAACAAAAACTATTCCATTCCACATACAGATTCATCAGTGCGGTTTTTTTTTCCACTTCACAAACACTTCTTTGACACCAACGTGGAAATTTATAAAACTCCCAAATCACGTGACAGGAAGAGACCGGTACGAGAGGCGTGAAGGGAGCGAAAGAGAACGCGTGATTGGATAACAGATCGATGTGTGGGAAACAAACAGAGAATGAGATCTATTACATTATTATATTATTTTCTCTTCACAAACACAACACAAAATCACTATATACCGCATTTACAAGAAATCAAAACTATCAAACTGGACGACTGTACACTTTCAGAGATAAAACCAAACGCAAAGCCTGTTATAATGTGTAGGATTACTTTCCTTCCTCTCACTTCATCTAATTTCATTTTAGTTTAAGGTACCATTTATTTTTCCCCCTTCCCACTTGATTTTTTTGTTCCGCTTCCCGCGTCGTGCGGCCCGGCAGCGCTGCATGCTGACCGCCAGTTTATTTGGTTGAGAGAATCAGGGCTACGATGAGGCCGTAGAGACCTAGGACTTCAGCGAAGATCAGAATGAGGATCATGCCGACGAAGAGGCGCGGCTGCTGGGCGGTTCCACGGACGCCCGCGTCTCCCACGATGCCGATGGCGAAACCGGCCGCTAGCCCGCTCAGACCCACGCTGAGTCCGGCGCCCAGATGCAGGAAACTCCTGACGCACAGAAACAATCAGACGTTAGCAATAAACAAACAAAAAGAAGGACTCGTATATCCTATTTTTTTAAATCATAAAATAATAAATAAATGATAAATAAAAAATTGCATAAAAATGAACTGTGCAAAAATGCATATACAGGTTTAAAAAAACACAAAAAAAACAATACAACAACAGAATTAATCTTTCTATGGCATCGTAATAATATTGAAAAATGTACTGGAGTCAACTACAAACATTTTAGCATCACAACAACCATAATATATAATATAATACAATATAATAAATCTAAATCAGTGTTATTTTAGTATCATTGAGATTTTTATGAACGTTTTGAATTGATTTTAATTTTTAGATTTTGCAAATATTCCAAATAATAATTAAAAATAAAACATATTGCGCTGTTGGGCCGAGACAATGAATCTCTCTATATTTTGTCACTGTTTTATAAAATGAATGCTATTGGTCATCCTATACGTCTGAATGTAAAACCAATAAAAAGCATTTAAAAGAGGTTGTGACGAAACCATTAGCTCCTCAGACTGTTCCAGAGACAAACAAACTGTATCTGTCTTTTGCTGGTCAAAAACCTCGTACTGATTTCATTGATTTTCATAAAATGTTAATATTATAATGACACGTGCAAGTGTCTGACCATAGCTATATAAAGCCACAATGCCAACTTAAATGACTTAATTGTGCTTAATTAAACAGGATATATATGAAGAGTTCAGATGCAAAAGCCTCTAAATGCCATTTGAAATTTTCTTCTTTAATGATGATTTTTAGCAAACTTGTATATTTAAGTTCAGTAATTTCACTTAAATGGCAATGATAATTACCTATTAATTGTTATTTAATTGAAATTACTGAACTTAAATATACAAGTTTGATAAAAAATCATCATTAAAGAAGAAAATTTCAAATGGCATTTAGAGGCTTTTGCATCTGAACTCTTCATATCTAATCATCTAACTTAAAGGTGCCATATAACATCATAAATCAAATCCTACTCCATATTCCATAACAGATGGGGGCAGTATACCTCCAAAAAATGACTTGTGCTCCTACCATCGCGCATGTTATTGAAATCATTTGACATGATAGTAAAAGGTTGGAAGACCGCAGTTTCACGTGGAACATTTGGAGATTTTTAGAGATTAGAGACTCAATGAACTAAACACTAGAGTGAACTAAACTAAACACTATGAATCTCAACACTAAATGATGAAGACCGCCTCATAGATCTCAAAAACAAGCTGGTGCATTTCGACGTTATGGGAAAATAAAAGCTTGGGCAATTATTTGAAGTTTATGGTATTCGTTTTGTTCATATTACACTTTTATTGTTAGTGAATTAATTTGACAGACAGCATTCGCTGATGTTGATCAAGCTAGCGCCGTGAATTCACCGTGAGACACACGCAATTGACACTTAGCAAGCAGGTTAGTTAAGCTCTCAGATTCTGTCAATTATATTGCGCAATTCAAAGAATAAATACCGTTTTGGCGCTTGTACATGTTACACTACAGATCCCTAGCGCACGTGAACCGATCGTCTTTACTAGCTTGAAAAAGAACACGAACACTGGTGAAAGATACAGTGTGCTACAACTTACCAAAATGTATTCCTCATGCATAATGTCGACCAATCATTTTTTGAACTCTTCCCTGAACTGAAATGTAGTAATTGGCTGCATTTCCACACGACTGACATCAGGTTCAAGTACACACAAGCCGGCCGGCGCGAGCGCGACTCACTCGTCTATTGCAGTTTGGCTGGTGCTAACGTTGCCCGTCCGCATACCGCCTCCCATGGCCGGAACTGGTATTACGATACCTGCCGGGCCGGGGCTAGTAATTTAGCATGCTAATTCAGGTTAATATCTCGGCAGCACTATAACTTGTCAGTTTTTTAATGACATCTTTGCACTTATTTCTTCTCATTCTTTTGATGCGTGTAGCTCATTTTTCGTATATTGTTACCTCAATTATTACATATGCCACCTTTAAACGTTTGTGTATATATATATATACACAAACGTTTAAGTTAGATGCGATTAGTCGATTTGTCGATTAGTCGGAAAAAAAAAAAAAACTGTCCACACACTTAAATCCTTTAAGCAAATGTAGGCCACGTTTACACAAAGCCAGGTATTTAGCAAAACGAATATTTTCCCCCTCTCCGTTTTCAAAAATAACATCGTTCACAAACCCGCATAAATACGCCGTCAAGCACCATCATAACTATGCCAAACCTATTGGCGGCAGTGTAGGGATTAAGGATAAAGCCATGCAAGCCAATCAGAATCCTGGAATCTACAAGAGAGAACCTAAAGTGCCGTTTCTCCCAGTTTACACGGCAACACAAAACCGGCGTTTTCAGAAATCTCCACTTTGCCCAGAGTTTTTAGAAATAATCGTTTCCTGTGATAAAAACTGTGTTTTCGTGTAAATGAGAGGGCAAAACTATCTGCGTTTTCCCATCGTGTAAACGGGGCCGTAATCACCAAGCTTTCGGTCAAAAGACCATCCTCAGAGTATACAGACAATAAATGGAACAATCAATTTAACACATCAGGACAATCAACAGTGATTACCAACACCTGTGAAAGCCAGGTAGGAGAGTTGTAGTCCAATAGTGGGACTTGTAGTTTTTCTTTAACCTACCCAATTTACTGCATTATTCAGGTCATTTACACATTTACTCCCCATAGTGAAAATCCCCAATACAAGAAACAAACATAAACAGACATTATATTA